AGTTCCGTTAAAATTTGCATTTGTTAGTTAGTTCGTTCGATAGACGGAATTATTGGGAACTAACTTGTAACTAACTATTGACACCGTTTGAAACCCGATTTAGGACATGGATATGCGAGCGTAAAGTTAGCCCGCCCCAAGACCACACACGTGGATTGTGCCGGTTACATAGTGTAACATGTTAACTAAAAAAATTAAATTAAAATAAAAAAATATTAAATTGGGCCTACGTTTAATTGAATTTTTTTATATGATGTTTAGTTTAAGTATTTAATGTATTAAATTAAAGAAACGTTCTAGGTACAACACTTTAAAAATATATTTACACTTATACTGTTTTCAAGACTTTAAATATACATGAAATTGGTAAAAGTTTATCGATTTCGAATGGTCACACCAAATGATCACACAGTCAATTAATAAACTGTCGTCATCAACAGTGAACTTGGTAACATCACTACAACTTATCGTTTTCTCCATATTTCCAATGTAAACAATGGCCCAGTTCGGCAGCGTGGTTCGCAACTGACTGCTCTCGAGGCAGTCACGCTGCGCGCTGCGCACTGCGCAGTTGGCAGTTAGTCGCGCACCGCGCCGCTAGGAAAACAGTCTCATTCGTTTAAAAGGGATCGGTGGTTCCGGCAACCGCGGAGCACGAAGCACGCAGCGTAACAGGCTTAATCGCGTCGCTAGGAAAACGCCGCTTTAATGCTTTATTTACTATAAGGGGTAAAACAAACAAAAATTACAGGCATTTAAGATGAACGTTAAAAATATGCTTTTGTAGATATATTTCTCGATAATGTTGCATTTGAATTTACTTGTAATTGACAAGTTTGCCTGTAAAACAGAACTTTGTATCTGATGTACGCTGGATAAATAAAGACGTTATTTATTTATTTATAATAATTATCCGTAGTGACTTCACCCACGACCACAAAAATAATATATTATCAATATTCACTGCGTCATGCACAGTTAAAAAATCATGTTACGATTAAAAACCCTACGGCGATTAAATTACACAATTTGTTTAATCTCCGACTAATAAATCTTACAACACAAAATCTTAAAATTAAAAATTCCACTTCTCTTCAGCTTCTCGAAGTGTAGTTCTTTCATAACACTTTTCAGCGGTCTCATCTTTCCATTATAATGTTCTGCAGTGTATTTGATATATTTTTAATAACTAGTGTCCCTGTTGCTCGAATTCGAGCAATTGCTGAGTATTACAGGCGTTATTTTAAAACGAATTTCAACCAAGTCAGCAAGTTTGCAGCAAACTGTTAAATTAGCAAACTTATTGACTGTTTACAATTAACATATGCTCTTACTCTCACTTTTGATTTCTGACTACAGCTGGAGTTTCATAACAATTTTTGTCTCCAATGTTAATCTTATGGAGAAATACGAAACTTTAAAGGGCAACCCTACTTTGACGGTTCTCATTGTATATTACTGCTTATTGTTGCTGTTAGTTCAAATTAGCTGTTATCAATGCAAAAAAATAATACTGCTGCTCCCTGTTGGTAAACCTTATAACTTTTCAATGCTATTTGTTATACCGGGTGTCCGAAAAAGAACTGAAACATTTTAAAGGCAAAAACTTGTACCAAATAAGAGACTATGTTTAATGTTCTATATATTGCTACGCACCATAAAGCTTTCTATACTATAGATCTATTCATTAACTTAGGCCTACAAAATTCCTTTGGCTATTAATTTAGCCCACATAGAAGTCAAAGTCATTTCTTAATAAAGATAATTCCTAACTTGTGTTTTATTTCTGTCTAATGAGGTAAGTCTTTATCTTAATCTTATAATATATGAATTATTTTAAGAATAAATAGATTTGGCAAGTTACACTATGAAATTTATTAGTGAAATACAAATATAAGATAAGTTATTGGTTGGATTTGCTATAGGGTCTAACAATGGTAAATTTACAAAATGGTGGGGGCTTCCAAAGTGGATAAAAGATTATATGCTATAATGGTTATATTGGGTTGATTTCTTCTGAAGTGATTAATATGTGAGCTCTTGATCACAGAGAGGGGTGATCGTGCCGGTTCCAATGATATATTAGGCTTCTTTAAAATGCAGATAATATAATTATTGTTCTGAAATAGGCTAGGTTTATGATGCTATAATGTAATATGCCAATATCCAAAGAAAGATTCTAAATGGTTTCACTGAATTTAATGAAATAAAATAAGATTTGAAGATTAAATTTTGAATAAAAGTTCAATTTGAAATATGTAGATCTTAATGATTTTAAGTTAAAATTGGGCCTATTAGGCTATGCTGATTCAAAATGTCCAATGAAGATTTGTCCTTAGCTATTTAAACAAGATGGATGATGGTTACCAAATTTGGAGTCTCTGCCTTCACCTTTGTACCATATGTAATAAATAAAATAGGGGTTGGTTAAATTTGGGTACTTTTCAAGGCACTTGTTCCTAATACTTATGATTAAAAAATTTAAAATTTAGGTTACACTTTGGGATGAATTTACAGCTGGTTAATTCACATAAATGACACTTGCCACAGTAATTTTGATTTTCTTTGGATAATTTTGAAAAGTAATACTATATTTAAGATGTTATTATTATATTGCAATTTTCTTACAATTATATATTATTCTAAGTAAATGATTATTGTTGGTTTTTGATAAGTACATGATAGATATGGTGAGAATTGGCATAAATATTATATTTTAACATAAAATAGGATGATGTTTCTGTGGGGTGATGGGATATTATGTAAAATTGAACAAAATTGGATAAAATAATACATATTAACAAGGAGGGAGAAGCATATTAAATAACTGATAACACATTATCAGGGGCATTAACAAACATTATGGGAGAAAATATACAAAATAATAGAGAAATTAATGTTAATGATGAATGGATGACATGTAATATTACAATATGTACATATTTAAAGCTTAAATTCTCAAGTTTTATTACAAACTTAGTAAAACTCGATATGAGCACTATTAGTGGCCCGGCATAAATCTCAGCGAAATTAGACCTCTTCCCAGGTATTGGTGAGTACTACTCGTACTACAGGGGGTGTTGCACCAACACATGCGACTCTTCTCTGTTGGAGGTAATTCAGATCCCGAATCTGCACCGAGTAAACATCATGCTTTACTGCCCCCCAAAAGAAAAGTCCAGAGAAGTCATATCTGGACTCCTAGGAGGCTAATGGATGGGGCCAATTCACCAATCGTCGAAAAGAGTATCCAGCACTTCTCGCACAGGCAAACTGTAGTGCTGTGGCACTCTATCCTGTTGAAAATAGACAGGGCCATTCCCCATCTCAATGTCACCCAACTATGGGAAAAATACTCATCTAAAATGGCACATTAAATGGCACCGTTTATATCCCCTGAAATACTGACCAAAACCTGGGAAGAGGTCACATTTCACTTTGATTTATACCGGGCCAAATGGTGATCATATCGAGTTATACTAAGCTTCTAATAAAACTTGAGAATTTAAGCTTTAAATACATATATAAAACATTAAATATAGTCTCGTATTTGATATCAGTATTTGCCTTTAAAATGTTTCAGTTCTTTTTCGGAAACGCGGTACATTATACGTGCATTATACAGGGTGGTAAAAAAGTCCCAGGACAGTTCAATATTTTAAAAAATAATATAGATAGAGCTACAATACTTGGTACAAAGTTACAGGGCATAAAACTCTATTTAAACACATATTCAGTGATCCAATAACTCTTCAGGGGGACGGCCCACAAGGAGTCGGAAGAAAATCTTAAATGGAAGCATAGGTCAATATGCACATCAAATTAAAGGTCTTTTTTTAGTAGAATACAATGCCGCAAACCGCACTTCAAAAGGTTGATCCTGCGCAAAATGGCAGATGTTGAAAGATTTCTTGAATCCGCCATTTTGAATCTTTGAACGACTGCAATTTTTTACTCAGGAATTCTTTTGAGCTTGAATTTACGGCATCGTAATCTACAAGTGAAGACCTTTAATTTGATGTGCATATCGACCTATTCTTACGTTAACAATTTTTTCCCGATTCCTAGGGCTGTGCCCCCCTGAGGAGAAAGCGTATAATAGCAATGTAAATTAAATGAATCTTTGAACATCTGTCATTTTGCGCAGGATCAATCTTATGAAGTGCGGTTTGCGGTATTGTATTCTACTAAAAAAGACCTTTAATTAATTTGGTAATAATTTGGCTTGCTTATCATAAGGCCAAGGTTTCAGCCCAATCCAACCAGTAGTTAATTCGCGATTGAACGTCAAACAAACAAACAAACGAACACACACACTTTAACATTCTAACATTAGTATTATTTGTTTCCCTGTTAAAACCGTAATTTGCTAAACAATATCCTCAGTACTTCGGGGAAGTTTTGGTAGGAGAGAGTCGGGTAAAATAATCAGTATTTGATCGGAATTATTTTCACCTATATCGAGTAATCTTCAGTATAATCTTTGCTCAATAGTAACAACTGATATGTTTCCCTTTGTACTGTATTTTGCAATTCGTGGGTAGACTGTGCATCGCTTGTTATAAACACATGTTATAAGTATTTTGTTTACTTATTCCTTGTTGTTATTTTTTTAACCAACATGGTTACTTGGACACGCTTAAGGCCAATGTTACAAAATGTTGACTTTCAATTCTTTTTCAATGTTTTTTCGTAATTAGATTTCTTATGACAGTTTTAACTGCATGTTTTTAGGCCGAATATCAAGTTTTTTCTAACATTTGAAGGAAATCGTCGAAGAAGTTTTCGAGATCTTTGTGCAAGCATACAAGAATTCATACAAACAAGCAAACATTGCTCATATAAGAGTATAGGATATAGGACGTATAAAAATGGTACTATAATAAGCTATAATAATAATGGAATAAGATTGTTTATAAAAATTGTTGAGTTTAAACATATATGTAAGTAAAATTGAGCAAAAACTCAACCTTGAACACGATCTGTCGTTATTTGGCAGGTGACAGGTATAAATACCAGTTGGTTTTGCAAATAATTTCAGTTGGAGGTAGAATACGATTGGGTTTACACTGATGCTTCTAGCTTTAGAATTGCCACGACTTCTCATTTCATCGGTGAGTTTTAATTTAATAATATGCAAATAACAAGCTCTAACTTATACCCTCATAGCCCAAATATCTATCTAATTGCTACATACAACAAAGGTTTTTTTCTGTAAAATCCCCTTTTCACCCGCCCTACTTACGAGATTTTGTCGATTTAGATATCATATTAAAGCTTAGCCAATAATATAGTGGGGTAACGAATCTTAGTAAAAAGGGCATTCTCTCTAGGCTTCGTACAACAGATCTTTGAGGAAGCCTTCGGCATAGGTCTATCGTCCTATTTGTTCTGTCACTTTGTTTACAAGTTGTTGATCACAATTTGCATTTGTGGTTTAAGTGTGTTCTTATGTTTTGTGTGTGTCTAAAGTTATGTGCTTAATCTGTACCGTTAATATTAGTGAGTAAAGTGGTGTATGGATTTCATAATCATTATTTTACTACATACCATTGTATTTTACCACAACGGGCTCTGACGCTAGTATAATTTAAATGCATTAGTTACTGTTTATTCATAGATTTACCGAAAACTCTTAATAATATTGAAAACTCTTGGCCGATTCCTAAAACAAGAGAAAATATCACATTCTGTAGTTGTATTTAATCTACGAATAATACATGGGCTTGTTGAATAAAAAAATTCAGTTTCAAAATCAAAACATTTAAGAATGTTTTTAAATCAAGCGATGAGAAATTCTTAGTCACTAGTAGATTTAATGTTATTGCAATTGGGAATAAATTGTAATAAAACACAAATTCCACAGACCATGCTGACGGCAGTGGGCGTGGTCTATCTACTGGTTGGAGTATGCTTGGCCGACAAGACGCTGGACTTGGAGAATGGAGTGATCGTACATATGTTTGAGTGGCCTTACTCAGAAATCGCAAGAGAATGTGAGGAGTTTTTGGGCCCGAGAGGATTTGCTGGCGTCCAAGTTAGTTTAAATTGATATTATTTTATTTCCTCAGGGGCACAAACTTAAAATGCATTTATTTTTAAGTCCCCTTTTTCAGAGCTGACATAGATTGAATAGTGTTTAACCAGCACTATTCCATCAGGGTAAATGTTTTTCATCACACTATGATGTCTTTGGCTGTATTACATACGTTAATTGGTGGCTGAAAGTTACGTTTTGCTGGCCATGCCAGCTGTCATCATAATTTGGGGACCGAACAGGTTTTTAAAGGCCGGGACAGCAAAATCAGCTGTCCGCTTACTTCCTCTATCTGGCGCTGGTCGATTTTCGACCACTAAAACGTGAGTTCTCAGTGGCGCTGGTCTATTATAGACCAAGAGGACATGGGTCGGGTTTTTCTATTATTAAAATATGAAAGCCGTTTTAAAACACAATAAATTTATACCATTAGAAAGATGAGATTCTGAGGATTCGTTTTCATGCATAAAACATTATTGAGTGAGTATTATGTAACGAGAAACATATTTCGAAAAACTAGAGAGTTCAAAATAGATTTTGGCGGTGGAAAGTTTTGGTCACCTGACTACAAAAACAGCTGTTTTTGGTGATTGTCAATTAAATTGTATACAATATTAGTACATATTCTGAAACTAAAATAAATTCCCCACAATTCCCTCTGACTCTATAAGGTTGATCGTACAAATTTTATTTGTTTTTAAAAATGTCATAAAAACTATGTTTTTGTAAAAAAATCTTCAAAATTCTACATTCCAACGTAAATTTCTCTGAAATTTTAGAATTCAACTAAATATAACTATATATTTTCAAAAAGATCTTTTATTACCTATTGTACAGTATCATTTCATTTTTTGTTGATGAATTCTATTATTTCCTACGTGACCAAAAGAAATTTGGTAGTTTTTCAAAAAATAAAATATGTATGTAGAATTTATTTTTTTATAATTTTATTTTTATGAGCATTTAAAAAATATTGGTATTTCTACGTAGGGAACCATATTTCACACAACCTTTACGTTTAGATAAAATGTGTAAAAAAAATATTTTGTAGTTTTCTTGTGGGCTGCTTTTGAAATTTCTAATTTGCATAATCCAAAAATTTGCAAACCTTTTGCTACTACGCCTAAACGCATTGCTAAGAAAAAAATATTTTTATATTATTATATTCTAAATTTATCGCTGAAACAGAAAATATATATATATGTGTACTTATATTCACAAATAAATGTTCTGTGGTAAAATATATGATACCACTACAAAAGCGCCAAAATATACCCGCCACTGGTGAATAAAATGACCGCCAGATTTTAAATACACAATCAAAATCCATAGCATTGCAATAGAATTGTGTTATTGTCACCGTTACCTAGCAACTATTTATTTTTATTTTTGCTGATTCCTCAAACTATTTCTTCACATAACCTTAAAGTTGTAGTTGTGTTGACTATCGGTGTGCATTATTATAGTGGTGAATAGTGGTAATAGGGTGGTATAGTGTGGTGAAAAATAGCGTTCGTACCACGGACCGAAATGGTTTTGCAGCTCTCGATCGATTTAAGAAAAAAAAACAGCGCTGTAAATGATTAACACCCTTGGAGAATTGCATATTAGCTGTGACATAGAAATTTATAACTAGACAAAACAAAAGAATATATAAACGAATTGAATTGCAAAAACGGGCTATTAGAATATTGTTTTAGTGTACTTGATCGCTAGGGTTTAAAGTGAATCTTTTCGACCCGAGCTCAGTTTTACGACCGCAGCAAAGCCGATGTCGGAAAATGAGCGATATGAAATGAGCGGAAAAACGACCTCTCAAAAGGACTTCCAATTTTGTTTCAATTTTGTTAATGCAAATAAGCAGCTGTTTAGTAAGCTATCGACAAGAATGCAATAATAAGCTACAACCGATTAAACAAATCGATAAATAATTTGGCTACATGCGATTGATTACAGTCGGCGTTAATAACTGTTTAATACAGCTGACTTATACTCCTTAAGGAAATAAAAGGCGTTTTACTCCAATGGTAGTAAACTAGCTCTTTTAGACCCACAACGTATGTTTTACAAATATATTTTTTTTGCAGTATGACGAAATAGTATATTTCGTACCTAGGGCCGAAAATGAGGTTTTGCCGGCTCGAGATAGTTTTTAAGTTCGAGACGAAGTCGAGAACTTAAATTGATCGAGAGCCGCAAAACCATTTCGGTCCGTGGTACGAACGCTATTTTTCACCACACTATACCCTATTACCACTATTCACCACAATAATAATGCACACTGATAGTCAACACAACTACAACTTTAAGGTTATGTGAAGAAATAATTTGAGGAATCAGCAAAAATAAAAATATATAGTTGCTAGGCAACGGTGACAATAACACAATTCTATTGAAATGCTATGGATTTTGATTATGTATTTAAAATGCATTCATGTTTTAAGTAAGTAAGCGGACAGCTGATTTTGCGGCCCCGGCCTGTAAAAACCTGCTCGGTCCCCAAATTATGGACAGCTGGCATCGCCAGCAAAACGTAACTTTCGGCCACCAATTAACGTATGTAATACAGCCAAAAACATGATAGTGTGGTGAAAAGAAGTTTAGTATAATATGAATTCAGAAAACCAAGCAATATTCTTCAATCAAACAGCTGTTTATCAAAGTATCATAACTGTAACACAGTATATAAATCATGCAATAACTTAAGAAAGTACTGTTTATAGGAAGCAAATTGGTATAACTTTCAATATGGTGCAATTTTGTTTCTAAAAATGTTGGAAAGTTGAAATGTTTACATAATATTTACAAAGCCTACCTTATAATTTGTGTGCAGTTTGAACGCTTTTGGTGCTTTTAACTCGTTTAAAGCTGTTAGTGGGACACCATGTACATCATCCCTATTTGGGCCTGAAATTACCGTATTTGATTTCCCTTTACAGCTTTCACCTTCTACAGAGCATATTGTGGCGGAAGGCCAGTGGTGGGAGAGGTACCAAGTGGTCTCGTATAATCTGGTCAGCCGCTCAGGCGACGAGGAACACCTTCGAAATATGATAACAAGATGCAACCGTGCTGGGGTTTGGTAGGTCTTAATTTAATTATTCAAAATAGATAGGTTTGTTTGACTCCGATCAAATTTAAAGATAGTCAACCGTGGAATAGGTAACGTTTGTAGAGAGATAACTGTACACAGTTTGTTTTAACTTAATTTCTACTTTAAAACATAATTTCGTAAGACTTAAGCCATTGTAAAAAGTGTAGCTAATATATCGTGTTAAAAGATTAGTAGTATAAATACCCCCGTCGCAGCAAACCTGCATACTAAGCGAATTTCCATTTACCCGGCTTGATTTCTTCTAAAATATATTCCCTATAAATTTTCAGATTTATTTTCTATTTAAATAACATTAATTTTAGTGAGTAGTTAGGTTTGTTGCTACGGGAAAGATGTTGAGGTGTGTTTTTTCAATTGAAATATTGATAGCTTAGTATGAAAAAACCAAATTGCCAAATTTGATTGAAATATATCCATAAACAAGCAAACTAAAACAGTTTATTTATTCTCCATAAGAATAACATGGGAATTTTAAATTTAACATTTTTTTAAATTTTCTCCGTAGTCAATGAACATTCAAAAACACTTCAATATACTAAATTGTCTTTTTCATATTCAAGGATTTTTAAATTTTCGTGGATGCTTTTGTATTCATGGTCTGTTTGTATTAAATGTTCTGCAAAATTAGATTTCATTGTTGTGCGGTTTCCTGATCTTAATGCTTGAATATGTTCTTTGAACCGTTTTTCAAAAGTTCGACTTGTTTGCCCAATGTAGGATTTATCACAATTAGAACATTTGATTTCATAAATACCTGATTTTCTCATATTGTCTTGATTTTGGTTAGCTATATTATCTTTTGAAATTTTGTTATTGATCATTTGAAAAGCATTATTTTTTGTTTTATAACTGATTATTACATTTGAACGGTTGAAAGTTTTTCTTAGGGCTTTATTAATTTTGGTATTGTACGGTATACAAATAAATTCTTTCCTCTTTTTGTTTTCTGTTCCTGAAGTAGTTCCTTGTGTTTGAAGTTTTCTCTTAAATTTCTTCTTAATCATGTTTTCAATTATAGATGGATTGTATCCATTTTTCACTGCCAAATATATAATAGTATTTTTTTCTTTGTTAAAGTTTTCAGTGGACATAGGAATATTTACAAGTCTGTGTGTTAACGAATGAAATGTTGCCAATTTATGTTGCCATGGATGATTAGAATGTGAAGGTATGATACTGTTTGTTGTAGTTGGTTTTCGGTAAATTTTAAATCTGTGAATGTGTTTTTCTTTTGAAATGGTTATATCTAGAAAGTTAATGTGTGAATGTTGTATTTCTTTTGAGAATTTAATTTGTGTCGAGATTGAATTTATGTGTTCGTGTAAATTGTTTGCTTCTGTTTGTGTTCCTTCAAAAAGGCAAAGGATATCGTCAACATATCGGTGCCAGTATATAATTTTGGATTTGTAAGGGTTGCCTTCAATTAAAACTTTGGTTTTCTCTAAATTATTCATGTAAATGTCAGCTAGAAGTCCAGACAGAGGAGAACCCATAGGTAAACCGTTTTCTTGAATGTAAAATGACTGATTATATTGAAAATAATTTTGGTTTAATGTAATTTTGGTTAGTCTAACTAAATCATTAATTTGAGTTGTTGTGAGTGTTCCATGTTCTATTAATTGTTGTTTCATTATTTTAATTGTGTCATCTATCGGTATGTTCGTGTACATGTCATTTACATCAAATGAAAGAAATAAAGAATTTTGTGGTATGTGAATATCTTTGATTTTGTCAATTAATTCATATGTATTGGTTACATTTATATCATTATTCATGTTTATGTTCTGTTTTATTTTGTTATGTAAATACTTACATAGATTGTATGTAGGTGCTTGACGGAAATTTACAATTGGTCTAATCGGAATATCTTGTTTGTGTGTTTTCGGTTGTGCTCGTAATGTAGGTGACTTTGGATTTGGTACTTTCAATGAAGATTTTTCTTTTTGTGTAATACTTTTGCAATTTGTAATAGTGGAGTTGACTATTTTTGTAAATTCTTCTGTTGGATCTTTTGTTAACAGTTTAAACTTTCCTTTTTCAAGAAATGTATTGACTTTTTCTTCATAATCATTCTTTTTCATGACAACGACTGAATTTCCTTTATCCGCTTTGGTTATTATTGGCGTCACATTCATTTAATTTTCCAGTTATATTATTAATTAAGGATAGTTCTTCTCTTGATTTTCTAGTGGTATTTGGACGTGTATTTGGTAACTTCAATTTGCTCATTTCATGTATAATGTTGTGTCTTATTGGATCTTGTACGTCATCTTTTTGTTTTCTTATGGACATTTCTAAGTTAAGAAGATCTTCTTTCAGATTATGTTTGTGGTGGTCTAGGTTTAAATTATATTTGATTGAATTACCTAAAAATTCTTCTTCATTTTCTGTGAACACAATATCTGTCAGGTTTTTAAATTTTGGACTGAATTCATGTTGTATTTCATTTTCTATTTCTAATGTGTAGCTTACCTGGTTTTTGCGTAGCTTATTAAGTTTATTTTTTTGTGTGGTCTTCTTTTTGTTCATGATAGGTTCGATCCAATTTCGTATATATTCAAGTATTTCTTCTATTGTTTCACAATGTAATTTAGTCTTAATCTCGTTTAGTTTGTTTGTCATTTGATTTTCAATTTTGTTTAGTTTGCTGTATAGAAAGTTGATTTCTTCTTTTACCCAAATCTTTTTTGCCGTATCAATTGTTCGAATTGCAGCTTGTGATTTACTTTTTGTATGAATTTGGACGTAATTTGGACAAAGATTTTCAGATAGACAAATTTTGTTAAACTTGATGTCTTCAATGATTTTTTCTTTCTTTAGGTTGAGGTATTTGTATCGATGGATCACTTGTTGGTTGTTAGCCATATTAATTAAGAAAACTGTAGTGATTAGGGCTACTATTTTGATATATAAAAACATTATTAAAAACTAAGTACCCTTTTTTTAATTCATTTTATTTAACAACGACTAGTTTCGACGATTATGCCATAGTCATGTTGTTTTTATATCTTAACAAATACAATAAACATTTTATCTAAATAATAAATACAATCATATGATTTCATAGGTTTTGATGACTTTAGATTTCTTCTGTTTTAAATGGTCTTTATACTATACTAGCTGGCCCGACAGACGTCGTCCTGTCCTAATGTGGTTTTATGTCACATGCTAGTTCATTTTCAAGATGAGCTCGTTCGCATGGCTCAATCACGTCCTGGTTGAAGTTCGTTCACTACGCTCACTCACCTTTAGGTTGGAGCTCGTTCGCTGCGCTCACTTGCCTTCAGGTTAGCTCGTTCGCTACGCTAACTCGCCTCCAGGTTGAAGTTCGTTCGCTACGCTCACTCACCTTTTGGTTGCAAATTAGCTGTTCTCATAAATTGCAAATAAATATAGTGCTGCACCCTGTTGGTAAACCTATTAACTTTTTAATGCTATTGAACATCACAGAATCAAACTGTTTAGTTGCACCAGCTGTTAAGATTCTTTAATTCCATTTAAATATGAGTACTCATAAGGTTAAAATGGGAAACTCCAGAGCCACTGGGGCGGAGCCCTATTGACGGATCTGCACCAAACTTCACACAAACCATCCTTGAATATTGCTTAATAATGCCTGAAAGTTTCATTACAATCTGTCGAGCGGTTTTGGAGTCCATAAAGGACAAACATACAAATATACAAACATACAAATATACAAACATACATTGGATTTTATATATATAGATATAATAATTTTCTCTCTTAATTTAACTGCAGGATTTTTTCAAATATTGGATTGCATTTGTTGATGTTCATTGTGTTTAGTAAATTTTCTGGGTGTTGTTTATAGTTTTTGTAAATGTAAAAATCTTCTTTAACATGTAATTTTAATTTGTCTTTTTCATATTCAAGGATTTTTAAATTTTCGTGGATGCTTTTGTATTCATGGTCTGTTTGTATTAAATGTTCTGCAAAATTAGATTTCATTGTTGTGCGGTTTCCTGATCTTAATGCTTGAATATGTTCTTTGAACCGTTTTTCAAAAGTTCGACTTGTTTGCCCAATGTAGGATTTATCACAATTAGAACATTTGATTTCATAAATACCTGATTTTCTCATATTGTCTTGATTTTGGTTAGCTATATTATCTTTTGAAATTTTGTTATTGATCATTTGAAAAGCATTATTTTTTGTTTTATAACTGATTATTACATTTGAACGGTTGAAAGTTTTTCTTAGGGCTTTATTAATTTTGGTATTGTACGGTATACAAATAAATTCTTTCCTCTTTTTGTTTTCTGTTCCTGAAGTAGTTCCTTGTGTTTGAAGTTTTCTCTTAAATTTCTTCTTAATCATGTTTTCAATTATAGATGGATTGTATCCATTTTTCACTGCCAAATATATAATAGTATTTTTTTCTTTGTTAAAGTTTTCAGTGGACATAGGAATATTTACAAGTCTGTGTGTTAACGAATGAAATGTTGCCAATTTATGTTGCCATGGATGATTAGAATGTGAAGGTATGATACTGTTTGTTGTAGTTGGTTTTCGGTAAATTTTAAATCTGTGAATGTGTTTTTCTTTTGAAATGGTTATATCTAGAAAGTTAATGTGTGAATGTTGTATTTCTTTTGAGAATTTAATTTGTGTCGAGATTGAATTTATGTGTTCGTGTAAATTGTTTGCTTCTGTTTGTGTTCCTTCAAAAAGGCAAAGGATATCGTCAACATATCGGTGCCAGTATATAATTTTGGATTTGTAAGGGTTGCCTTCAATTAAAACTTTGGTTTTCTCTAAATTATTCATGTAAATGTCAGCTAGAAGTCCAGACAGAGGAGAACCCATAGGTAAACCGTTTTCTTGAATGTAAAATGACTGATTATATTGAAAATAATTTTGGTTTAATGTAATTTTGGTTAGTCTAACTAAATCATTAATTTGAGTTGTTGTGAGTGTTCCATGTTCTATTAATTGTTGTTTCATTA